TCCCTATTTATCTATTTCCTGTTTCAAGGCTGTTCATAGCTCTGCACAGTAAAGAAAGTCTCTAATATTACCTTGAGCACACATTCCGGAAGAAGGATGGGAGGCTGGAAACCCTTTCTCATACCCTGGAGAGGTCTGAAGTATAACGGTCCCTTAAAAAATTAGAAATCTAGCCCTGGCTGATGTGGCTCAATGGATTGAGCACCAGCCTGCAAAACAAAGGGTCACCCATTTGATTCCCAGTCGGGCCAAATGCCTGGGTTGTGGGCTGGGTCACCAGTAGGGTAGTGCTTAAGAGGCAACCACACATTGATGTTTCTCTCCCCCCCTCCCTCCCTCCCTCCCTTTCTCTCTCTCTAAAAGTAAATAAATGAAATCTTTTTAAAAATTAGAAATGTAGAATCCAATAAGAAGAAGGTACTGGCTAAAGGTCATTCATCTATTGGCAATGTTGGAGCTAAAGCCCAGGTGTCTCTTTGTTCTTCTTAAGTGGTAATTTAACATGTTTGTGTTACAGACTTCCTCAAGTCTCTCATGAAAGCTACAGACATTTTCCTGAAGAGGAATAGGGGTAGGGGAAGTATTTAGCACAATTCTTTTTCATCTAATTTCAGAGGCTTCATGGACCCTTGAAGCACATCCATACCTCAGGTTGCAAAACTCTATCAGAAAAAAATCAAAACATGCAATCAGTCATCAACAAACCAATGGTGTGAGAAAACTGGGGAGAGGGGAGTGTAAATGTTTAATATTAAAAGTGTCTTAGGAAGCATAACAATCAAACAAGGTATTAACCTTGTTTGAATTTTGATTTAAAGTATAAAAGGAAACTTTGGGGGACAATCAGGAAAATTTGCATAGAGTATTGGATGATATTAAGGAATTCTTTTGTTAGATGTGAAAATCATTATGTAAGAAAAATTTTATAGGACTTCCGGCCAAGATGGAGGCATAGGCAGATACACTTTGTCTCCTCACACAACCAAAAGAAGGACAACAGCAAGTTTAAAAACAGAAAATAACCAGAACTTCCAGAAAATCAAACTGTATGGAAGTCCAACAAACAAGGAGTTAAAGAAACATTCATTCAGACTGGTAGGAGGGGTGGAGATGGGCAGCCAGGGTGGAGAGGATGTGTGGCAAGGCAGCAGCTGGAGGACAAGGGCAGGCAAGGCAGCAGCTGGCAGACCTGGTGGTCCCACATTTGTTTGTGAATAAATGGGGGGGAACAACTGGGGAGAGAGAGAGACTGTGCAACCCAGAGTTCCAGTGCAGGGAAAGAAAGCCTCAAAAACCTCTGGCTATAGACATCTATGGGGGTTGCAGCAGTAGGAGAAACTTCCAGCCTCACAGGAGAGTTTATTGGAGAGACCACAGGGTCCTAGAATGTTAACAAACCCACCCACCTGGGAATCAGAACTGGAAGGGCACAATTTACTTGTGGGTAGTGGGGGAAGTGACTGAAAGCCAGTGGAGAGCCAAGCAAGTGACAGTGTTCCCTCTTGGAACCCTCCCCCACATACAGTGCTACAACACAGCAATATGGGTTGCCCCACCCTAGTGAATACCTAAGGCTTCACCCCTTACATTATAACAACTGCACCAAGACCAAAAAAAAAAATGTGGCCCAAATGTAAGAACAGCTCAAGGCTCCAAAAATAGAACTAAGTGACAAAGGGATATCCAACCCATAAGATGCACAGTTCAAAACATTGGTAATCAGGATGCTCACAGAAGTGGTTGAGTGGCTGCAAAATAGGCAGAAAAGTGAAGACTATGCAAAATGAAATGAAGAGAAATGTACAGGGAACCAACAGTGAAGGGAAGGAAACTGGGACTCAAATCAATGATTTGGACCAGAAGAAAAACAGAAACATTCAACCAGAAAAGAATGAAGAAACAAGAATTCAAAAACATGAAGAGAGTCTTAGGAACCTCCAGGACAACTTTAAACATTCCAACATCCAAATCATGGGGGTGTCCGAAGGAGAAGAGGAAGAGCAAGAAATTAAAAACTTATTTGAAAAAAAAATGAAGGAGAACTTCCCCAATCTGGCAAAGGAAATAGACTTCAGGGAAGTCCAAGAAGCTCCGAGAGTCCCAAAGAAGTTGGACCCAAGGAAGAACACAACAAGGCACATCATAATTACATTACCCAAGATGAAAATAAACGAGAGAATCTTAAAAGCAGCAAGAGAAAAGCAGACAGTTACCTACAAAGGAGTTCCCATAAGACTGTCAACTGATTTCTCAAAAGAGACCTTGCAGGCAATAAGGGACTGGAAAGAAGTATTCCAAGTCATGAAAGGCAAGAAATCCAAGATTACTGTATCTAGCAAAGCTTTCATTTAGAATGGAAGGGTAGATAAAGTGCTTCTCAGATAAGGTCAAATTAAAGGAGTTCATCATCACCAAGACCTTATTATATGAAATGTTAACAGGACTTATCTATGAAAAAAGATAAAAAATATGAACAGTAAATGACAACAAACTCACAACTATCAACAACTGAACCTAAAAATATAAAAACTAACATAAACTAAGCAAACCACTAGAACAGGAACAGAATCACAGAAATAGAGATCATATGGAGGGTTATCAGTGGGGAGGGGTAGGAGGGAGAATGGGGGAATAGTTACAGGGAATAAGAAGTATAAATGGTAGGTACAAAATAGACAGGGGGGCATTGAGAATAGTATGGGGAATGGAGAAGTCAAGGATCTTATATGTACAACCCATGGACATGAACTTAGTGGGAGGAATGCTGGTAGAGGCCTGGTGTAGGGTGGAGGGGAATTAAGAGGAGAAAAAAATGGGACAACTGTAATATCATAATCAATAAAAATATACTTTAAAAATACTTAGAGTACCAAAGTATTCACAGCTGAAATGTGATGTCTGAAATTTTTTAAAAAATATTTTAACAAAGAGCCTTGGCTGGTGTGGCTCTGTTGGCTGGAGTATTGTCCCATAACCAAAAGGCTGCAGGTTCGATTCCTGGTCAGGGCACATACTTACATTGTGGGTTTGATTCTCCATCCAGTGTGTGCAATCCTCAGTCTGGGTGCCTAGAGGAGGCAACCAATCAATGTTTCTCTTTCACATTGATGTTTCTCTTTCTCCCTTCCCCCTCCCCTCTTAAAGCAATTTAAAAAGTGTCCTCTGATGAGGATGAAAGATATATTTCAACAAAGAAAAAAGTGAAGAAATTTTTGCAAGATGTTTACAGTTGAATCTAGGTGATGTGATCTGGAAGTTCTCTAATATTCTTCTACTTTTGTGAATGAAATTTTTCATGAGAAAATACAAAGAAGTCCTGCTCTCTGCCATTCTGGCAAAGATGAGGATCTCTAGGTTGTCACAGCCAGTACTCAGGTTTTAAGGAACCCTAAACAGCCATCCATAGATTTCCTGACTCTGGAACCATAACAGAGTGGGTTTTTTGTTTTGTTTTGTTGTTTGTTTGTTTGTTTGTTTGTTTTTATTACCAGAGGACCCACTGATATCCTACAAAATGATGTAGATAGGTATTGTTATTTCTGTTCTTGGTCTTTCAAGGAATTTGTTCATCTCGTTTATGTTGTCAAACTTATAAGCATAAAGTTGTTCATCATAGTCTTTATCCTTTTAATGTCAGTAGGACCTGTAGTGATAGCCCCTCTTTCATGCCTGATGTTTGTAATTTGTTCACTATTCTCTTTTTGACACAGACAAGTAAACAAGCCAAAAATGAGAAATTATTCAGGTTGAGGCTTACAGAACCAACTGAACCATGCTTACTTCTGATGACTTGCCCAGCTACTAGTTCCATCATTTTTTGAGGCTCCCTGCCTCCTGCCCACAGCTCTCATATATTTTGTGTGACCTAATATGTAGTCTGACATGAAAGAGCCCAACTACACACCTAGGGCTGTCATTGCCCTTGGCCTCCAAGGTGAAACCAACTTTTCAGAATATTCTCTTTCACTCCATCCTTGGGCTCACCTCAAAAGAAAACACAAGTGGAGGAAGTAGAATAATGCAGGAGAGGTGGTATGGCGAGTAGCAAATGGCACAGGTGGACTACTTGCTAGAAGGTTTTGGAAAACTTAGCTCACCTGGAAAGAGACAGTTCTAAAATCTCCATGATGGGAAAGATCAGGGGAGGAACATGTTTACTGGCAGTGACAATGTTCTCCACTTTACTAGTCCTTTTTTCTTGTCTCAGTTGCTAGAGGAAAGGATCATAAGTTCCTAGGCAGTAGGTGGCTTATTTGAGCTTTCATTTAGTCTTCCAAATTATATCATCTTTCCCAAAACCTATGTTCAAGATAGGCTTCCCTCCTCTTCTTTCTGCTTTAACCTCAAGTGGCCTTATCCTTAGTGACATCCAGTAATGAAGTACTGGCTGGAACTTGTTGACGCTTTTTCCTTTACTCTGAGGGTCTCAACATCCACCACACTTGCTGTTTTGGATCCAAGTCATCAGCATACAAAGCTATGATCAAGGAAATAGAGCCTGCCTCCACTGTGTACCTCCCAAAACTAAGCGACAAAATCCTGGGTTTTTTTATTCTAAAATCCATTTTCTTTCTACTATATCAATGCCTGATAATAATTTTTGAGTCAGGTGCTTTTCTTCCTATTTAGTCCTTAGAAGAGGATGATAGGAGGCAAGAAAGAAAGAGGACAAGAACAGACCCTTCTATCTGAAGGCTACCAGAGAGTGAGCACCACTCACTTTTGGTAAGCTTTCTCACTCTTTGGAGTATATATCTGGTTTCCCTGGCTACCTTTCTAGAGAAGCAATGTTTGGGGAAAAGGGACACATCACAGAGCTTATTGGATATGAGAACCTCCTCTTTATTCCACAAACAGAAGCTGGCTTTTGGAGCTGGGTAGGATAAGGGCTTTGGCCTTTCCCTACCTTTGTATGAGACCTAGGAATAAAAGTCTAGATCTGGTGACAAGTCCTTTCTTCAGGTGGAAATGAAAAGTCCTGACATCCAGTCAGTCCCAAGTTAGGGGGCAGGAGCAATGATGTGGGGCAATTCCTTGGTGAGGTGAATATCAGCTTGGGGCAGGCTCTTCCAAGCAAGTTCTAAGATGCCATAATGGGCAATGCCCATGGGAAGCATGGTATGCACATTGTTCTTCCCTGAGAGGGATACCACCTCCTGGAACGCCAGAGGACCTCTAGGGATGTGAGAGTGACCACAAAACAAGTGGTAGAACAACCGCTCCCCAGGAACTAGCTCCGTGGCCTTTAGGCCCTCTTTGTAGATGATCTCACTGGATTGGGGTTCCTCTCTCAGGAGCAGCTCCTGTAGCAATCTCTGGATTCCAGGGGACTTGAGTTGATACAGGTCCATGAGGTGGTAGAACTGTTCCATCCAAGCAGCACTATCTTTTGCATATCGCTCCTGCAACATCCGTAAAACATGGTACAGTGCCACAAATGTCTCCCATAAAGGCACTTCTTCCTGTTTTTTAGAGCTAGGCTGTACCTTCTTTTCTACCTTGGGCAATCTGGGAAACCTGCCCTTATCCTTAAAAGCCCAGAAGTCCTTTTGAAACATCAGTGCTAAGGTTTGTTTTTCCACAGAGGCACGGGCACCTATGAAAATGTCTCTTGTGGCAGGATGAAAGTGTTGCATCTCCATTTCCTTGAGGGCACTGGATATCTGCTCAGCCCGGGCACTTCTGTAAGGCTCTCCTAGAAGATACCAATTTATAGCCTTTGAACATGGAATACTTTTTGTAGCTAATGAGGGCTTTGGTATGGGAAAAGTCAAAGGTTTTAAATGGGTTTCACTTTCCTTTCTTTTTATAGGAGGGATCACTTTCAGGTATTTTAGACCCATGGGCTTTGTACTGGTTTTTGATATTCGTGTGCTTTCTGATTCTAGGACCTGCCTGTGGCGGTAAGTGATATCTTCAAGCTTGGCTAGATGCGTCCATTCTAAGGTTCCCTTTGAGGTGAGGTCTTTGAGAAGCTGGCACAATCTGTGGAAATTGTCTCTGGAAGGCTGTTCTCCTGCCTCCATCTGTTCTAGGACATGTTGGATCCACTCTATATCTGAGAGGCTTATGTCTGCATGTATTTCCTCAGCCAGGATTTGGGACATAGGTAATTGTACCTCTGTCTGTTCCATCAGAGATGGATAATGATTCAAAAGCCACTGCCACCTATCCCCTAGTGGTGTGCCTTGGAGTTTCTGAGATTCTGTGGTCTTCCTCAATAGGTGGGATAAATATGGGGTCTTTGAGTCTGGCTCTTGAGACTCCAAACCTGTATCCAAAACTTGTAGAGGAATGGGCTGATATTTCCTCAACAGTTCTCCTTGTTTATCCATAAACCTTGTCTCTGCAAATATCCTGGGTGTCTCAAGTACAGTGGTCCTATCTTTCCAGGATGACATTGGCACTGGTATAGTCTCTTCCCTCCCCAGAGCTATTGAGACCAGTTTCTTGGAAGGTATTTTCAGAACTTCCAGATTTATATCACTGCCTTTGACCTCAGGGAATTTTTCTCTAATAGAAGGGACTATTTCTCTTTCTCCTAGGTCCTTTCCTGTTTTTTCTTGTAATTTAAATAGTTTCTCTTTTTTAAAAATCTCTTTTTCCTTGTCTACTTCCTCTTCCTTTTCTTTCTCACTCAAATTTTCCATCTCTTCCTCACTCATACTTTCATCCTTCTTCTCAAACACTTCCTCCTCCTTCTCCTCCTCCTCTCCCTGAACTTTCTTTTTCTTCTCCTCCTCCTCTTCCTCTTTCTTCTCCTCCACCTTTCTGATGTCCTCCATCTCCTCTTCTTCCTCCTCTTCCTCCTCCTGCCGTTCCTCTTCCTCCTGTTCCTCCTCCTCCTGTCCCTCCTCTTCCTTCTCCTCCTGTCCCTTCTCTTCCACCTCCTCCTGTCCCTCTTCTTCCACCTCCTCCTGTCCCTTCTCTTCCACCTCCTCCTGTCCCTCTTCTTCCTCCTCCTCCTGTCCCTTCTCTTCCACCTCCTCCTGTCCCTCTTCTTCCTCCTCCTGTCCCTTCTCCTCCTTTTCCTCCTGTCCTTCCTCTTCCTCCTCCTCCTGTGCCCCCTCTTCCTCCTCTTCCGATAAACTCTCTTGCTCTACTTCACCTAACAGGTTTTCTACTTCTCCATAAAACCTCTCTTCACTTTCCACCTCATCCATTTGACTGCTCAATTCTTCCTGTGGCATATCAACTCTTTCTAACGTTTTTCTCTTTCTTGACTTTTGTTTAAGGAATGACATTTCTTCTTCCTCTGTTATTTCTTCCTCCTCGTCTTCCTCTATGAATTCTTCGTGTTGCCTGGCCAATCTGCTTTCTTCCTCAGCTATTTGTTTCTCTTTCTTTATCAATCTTTTCATTTCCTTGGACAGTTTTCTCTCTTTTTTAGCAAGGTTCTCCTCATCTTTGGTCATTTCTGATTGTTCCTCAGAAATATCCCACTCTTTGGCATCAAGTGCATTTTGTTCTTTGCTCAATCTTCTCTCAATAGCCAAGAATGACCTCCTTTTCTTTGTCAGCTGTATTTCTTCCTGGGTTAGTTTCCTTTCTTTTTTGATAAGGTCTTGAAACACGTTTAAGGCTTTTTTGCTCACTCTTGATGGTTCCTTGGAAATGTTCCCTTTAGCCAGCTTTCTTACTACTTTGGCTAGCTTCCTTTCTACCCGAGCATATATTCTCCCTTCTCTAGCAAATTCTAATTTCCCCTTGACAATATCCCTTTCCTTCGTGGCCAATATCCTATCTTCACATACCACTATCTTCTCTTCTAGTGACAATTTCCTCTTAGTTAGTTCTAATTCATTCTCACTCAGTTTCCTCTGTGTTGAGGTTTCTTGAGTCTCTCCCTTGGAGAGAATCTCCTTTTCCTCAGCTAGTCTTTCCTTCTCCTGGGCCAGTTTCTTCATTTCCATGTCCAATTCCTTTTCTTTCTTAATAATATCCTCTTCTCTACTGAGCAGTTTTGTTTCTTGAAATATTGCCTTCTGCTCCATAGCTAATTTTATTTTGTCCTGGACTAGCTTGTGCTGTTTCTCAGCTAGATTTTCCACTACTTGTGCCAGTTTCTTCTTCTTCTGGAAAAGTTTCTCCTTTTTCTCCACTAGCTTCTCCTCTGCCTGAAATGATTTCTTCCTGTATATGTCCACTTTCTCCTTTATTTCCACTAATTTCTTTCTGTTCTGGACAAGGTTGTCTTTGAGCTGGTACAAGTTCTCTTTCCCCTGAATCAATTCTACCTTCTCCTGAGGCAGCTTTTCCTTCTCCTGGGCCAGAATCTCCTCTCTCCTGGCTAGTATCCTCTTATTGTTTGCAAATTCCACCTTGTCCAGGATCAATTTTTCCCTTTCCTGGGCCAGTTTATTTTTACTCTCCATTAACTGTTCCCTTTTCTGGGCAAATCTTTCTTCTTCCTCAGGCAGATATTCCATGGCCTGGTCCAGTTTCTTCTCTGCCTGAATCAGCAGCTCTTCTTCCTGGGCCAGTTTTTTCTCTTCCATAGCCAGTTGCTCCTCTTTCCAGGCCAGTATCTTCTCCTTCTGAGCCAGACCCTCATTTTCCTTAGCTAGTTCCTCCTCTTCCTGATTCAGCAGATTTTGCTTCCAAACCAGTTCCTCCTCTTCCCCTGTCAGCTCCTTTAATTTCTGGTCTAGTTCCTTTTCTTGCCGTGCCAGATCTTGCTCCTCCTGAACCAGTTTCTCCATTTTCTGGACCAGTATGTTTTTTACCTCAGCCAGCTTCTCTCCTTTCTTTGCTATTTTCTCTTCTTCACGAGCCTGTTTCTCCAATTTCTTGGCCAGTTTCTTCCTATTCTGGGCCAATTTCTCTGCTCTTTGGCTTAGCCGCTCCTCTCTTTGGGCCAGTTTTACTCCTTTCTGGACAAGGTTCATCTCTGCCTGGACTGTTTTACTGTCTCTCTGAGCCAGTTTTCCATAATCTCTGGCCAGTTTTCCCTCTTCCTGGGCCAGTTTTCTCTCTTCTTGTGCTAGCTGCTCTTCTTCTTGTGCCAGCTTCTCTTCTTCTTGTGCCAGCTTCCTCTCTTCTTGGGCTCGTTTTTTTTGAGCTTGGGCTTGTTTCCTCTCAATCTCGGCCTGTTTATATTCTTTCTGGATCTGTCTCTGCTCTTCTGTCACCAGCCATTCTTCTTCCTCTTCTTCTTCTTTTTCCCAACCCTGAGACAATTTTTCTACCTCCAGGGTCAATTCCTCTTCATCTTTGAACTTTTGCTCCCTGAATCTGCGTAACATCTTTTCTCCAACCTGTTCCCCCTCATCCCATTCCAGCTTTCTCTTTCTCTCCTCCAACTTTTCCTCATCTGGAAATATCTTCTCTTTGTCCTTTTGTGGTTTCTCCCCTTCCTCAAGATGATCCATGTCCCAGGCTTTTTTCCATTCATCCCAGGATATCCTTCTTTCACTGTAGATCTGTTTCCACTCATCCCAAGACTTCTTCCAGTCCTGCAAAAACAACTTCTTCTCATCCATAACTGGTATTCCTTCTTGCTCAACCACTTTTCCCTCTAGTTTGACCATTTCTTCCACTTTCTGACTCCCATCCATCACTCTTTTGCTCAATTTCTTCTCTTTTTTATCCACTTGTATTTCCTTCATGCCTGCTTTCATCTTTTGCTTAGAGGGTTTCTTAGAAAATCTGTGGTGTTCTTTCTTTAGTATGTGTTTCTCCTTTGTTAGGCCACCTGGTTCTAAAATAATAATTTTCTTTTTCTTGCCCTTTTTGGGAATTACCTGGGTTTCCCGTAAGTCCTGTATGTCCCCCGCTTCCTTTTGCATTTGTCCCTGCCCCTCTGGTATCTCGTCAATGTCTCTGATCACCATATCCTCACTAATTGCTTCTTCATGAATAAAAATTGGTTTCTCCTCTGGCCAGGCTACATCCCAGTCAAGGTCCTCAAGCAGAACCTCACTTTCTTTCTTTAGTAGGGGGCAGATCTTCTCAAAGAGCTCCCAGCTGGGGTGCTTATCTGCCAGCACCTCCTGAGCCATGGTCACTAACTCAATATTTAGAGATTCTGACACTTCTGTTTGGGAATCAGATATCCTCAGGGTCATAAGACGACACAGATCATCCCGCCATGATGAGACATCTCCAGGAGTAGCCCTGTAGCCAGGAGTTCCATGGGCACCCCGCCCTCTGGCTTTCACATTCTTCACAACTGGTTCTTTTACATGAGGCAGAGGTTCCTCCTCGATTATAACTTTAGCTTCTTTTTTCTTCTTCTTTATGGGTTTCCGAATTGTTGTTTTCTTTCCTTTTTTGCCATGTATTTTCTTTAGCATCTTCAGGGTCAATGCAACATCCTTTGAGACATCTTTCTCTGGAGGCTGTTGTTCAGCATCTTTTGAAATCTTTGGTACACTGACGGTTGAAGACTCAGAATAGATGACTGTCTCCACATCAGTTGGTGCAACTCTACTTTGATCACTTTCACCGTCTAAGAGACTTGGCTCTGTGCCTGTCTCTTTCATCTTCTTGAGGATCCGAAACATTTTTTTGGCTGCACAAAAAATTAGGAGATGTTGATAAGGACAGCATGGGAAGCTTAAATGAAACCCTCACCAATATCTGGCATGAACTAAGAGGACTGCCATAAAGAAATTACAACAGAGGGAGCTAAGGCCTTTAAAAAAAAAAGAGAGACATTATCTTTGCCTTATTCTCAGTTTCCCCACCCAATATCTTAGAGAGAAGAGCCTTGAAGTCTTATTGAGTTTGGGTGAATTCTCCCTAAATCTATGAAAAGACCTTTCCACTTATTTCTACTCCTATGTGATATCTCTTAACTGCCTCTTGAAGACTGTAGGGCATAAACTGGATCACCCCATACATACCATGCATTTTTTCCCTTGCTTGGTTCCATCTTTGGCCTTTGCTGGGCTTGACGGCAACTTTAGATTCTTCAGGAATTACATCAGATTGCTTGGAAGGGGGAGTCATTTCAGAAACCCTTGAGACATCTAAAGAAAAAGTGGGCTTTTTATCTCCACGTGACAAAGTTAGGTTTTCGTTCAATCGCTGTCCCACTTGAGTATGAAGCATTTGGAGATCTGTGGCACGCATCCCCAGCAGACTGTCCAGAGTTTCCTGCCCAATCATTTCCTGCCTATGAAAGTCAAAAGAGAAAAGGAACATGCTGAATCAGGGAAAAGAGAGAATGATAAGGAAAGAACTGACATGGAACAAGCAGGGGGCTTGGCAAAGTGACCAACAGAGACTGTGTACATGAAGGTAAAGGATGGCCAAGAAGAAAAAAAGTGTCTAGGAAGATAAGATAGCAATAAATGATCTGTATGGAGGTTGCAACAGTAAGAGAAAAGAATTAAAGGTGTAACTCGAACAGGTATGGGACAGACAGAAATAGGAGAAGAAACAAAGAAAGGATTGATCAGTCAGGGGATTGTCAAGATAGCCTAAGAATGGCAAAATACTAGGAATAGGTAAAAAGACAGGATAAGCCAAAGAAGAGGGATGAAGAGATAGGAAAAAATGGAAGGGGGAAATGAGGAAGGGGAGAAGAAAATTAGAAGCTAGTAAGAAACTGAGGAAAACACAAAGAACGTACTGCATCTCCCAGAAAGTCTCTTGGTTCTGGATCAAGTTTAACAGTGAGGTCTTAGAGTGGATTCCAATGTCAGCCATGAGGTTCAGTGCCTTATTCCTCACTCTTTGGTCCTTGTCCATTAACCCTTGGGCCAGAGGAATGGCAAAGAGATGAGTAATCATTCCTAGACGCTTCAGCCCTTCCCAGGCTAGCTCTCGGATCAGTGGATTAGAATTGGTTGTATCATCCAGAAGACGATGGGCTGTTTCAGAGCGCAGGGCTGGAGACACCTGGTAAGAAGCAAAGATTTGCCCTAGCGCACCAACACAACATTGGTACTTCAGTGCAGGAGGAGCATACATCATAATGTTCAGTATTGCCTCAATCAAGCTATTAATAGCTATTTCAGTCATCTTTCTTCCTAGCCAACTACGGTTTGTTGGGTCTGTAAGGACACTATAAGTTCCATCCTTGGTCATTCTCTTTTCTATGAAGTCTTCCTCTTCCTTTTCCGTTTCCTGTGTATATTCTTTTACATCATGTATAGGTCTTACCCTACTCTGCCAGAAGAATTGTTGAGATTTATTCCACTCCAACTTCCGAGTGGGTGAATGCAGGTTGCACTGTAGGTATATTGGGCTGCCCTCTGGCCAAAGACGGGCACGAATCACTGAGTTAGGGATATAGCAATCAGGAGCAAAGAGCCATTTCCGCCCATAACCAAAGTAGCATTTCAGTATCTGATAAGGATTGAGTCCATCCCAGGTAGTCAACTGTAGCTGAGGAGGAACCATATCATGGGGATAAAGTTTGCTCAACTTTATATCAGTTTCCTCCTTTTTCAAGGAACCATGTCTTGGGGCAGATAGTAATATGAGGCTCCCTTGCTCATCTTCTTCTATGACATGTGGCACAGTGTGGTCAAAGGCAATGGCCCGCTTATTGACAAGTTTCTCCAGACCCACTAGTTCCTGTTGTCCTTGTCCAAGGTAGGTATACTTGGGCACAAACATGGTCTCAAAGGAGAAGAAGAAGCTTGGTAAGAAAGGCTTGGGGATTTCTAGCACTTCATCTGCCATGCTCATAAATGAAAGGTAAACCAGCTGGGATCGGGGAAGCAGTTTTAAACAGGATATCAGATAAAGACTCTGGTTGAAAGTCACAAGCAGGTCACCTCTATCATTTGCAAAGCAGAGTGGGCCAAAATGCAGTGATGAGTCCAGCATGGCTACAAGTCTACCATGAAAGTTCCAGATCCGGACAGAGCCATCAATACTACCTGTGACAAAAAGACTCAAGGTCAGGCATACATCAAAGGATGTAATTGCACACCGGTGCAAAGGCAAGGTCTCTATAAACTTGGAGCCTTCCTGTGCCTCAGAGGACAGAAAATCATGGAATTTCCAGAGACGCAGGCAGTTAGTCTCTGTGATAGCACCCACAGACTTTGGCAAGAGTATCAGGTGTTTTAGATGACAGCTGCTGAGAATGCTGGCCAGAGGTCGCAGGTGTACTTTGGCCCCATCAAGCACAGCTTCTGATAGGCGTATGTAGTCATCCATTCCATAGGAACAGAGCAAAGAGTATTCTCGGCCACCTAAAAGCCCTCCAGGCAGGGTAGAGAATGCTAATATAGCCCCAAAGTGCATGAATTTCTCTATTCGGGCACAGCTGTGCTGGGAAAGCACTCTTATCATACCACTCTCATGTCCAGAGAACATAAGTCCTTCTAGACCCCGACCCAGGTGGAAATGCCCATAAGCCAGGCATTGTACTGAGTCCTGAGCATTTGGTGAGGTGCATAAAAGATACTTGGCTGGGCAAGGGCAGCGGGTTGTGTCAAAGACCAGCACCTCTGAGCCCCCTGTTGCTACAAAGAGCTCTTCTTTATCTGGGTTATAGGCCCAGTCCACAGCCTGGTCCAGGATTGAGAAGGGCCAGGTGAAAACCAGAAGATCTCCTGTTACTGGAGACATAAAGCGCAACAAGCCATCCTCAGTAGTGCATAGGATCCGGAACCAGTTATTACCACAGCGGACCCGACGCAACTGCTCTGGAGCAGAGCCACAGACATGAAAGAGGCTATAGAAGCAGGGTAAACGGCGCAAGGAGAAAGTATGGGTAGTTTGGCAGAAGAAAGTAATGTTATCAATAAACTGGAGTCGATACAATTCCTCTCCAAGTTCTAGTTGTCTCAGTAGGTTCCCAGAAGTAAGGTTCCACTCCTTGATGAAACCCTCCTTGCCAGCTGTTAGCAGGGTGTGGGCTTCTGGCCGGCTGCGGATACATATCACTGACAAAGAATGGGCCTTGAAACTGTGGAGAGAGTAGCTCTGACTGAGGCTCCATACTTGGATGTCCCCAGTCCTATTTCCAGCATAGAGATAACCCTGATCGATACAGGTGAAGCAGCAAGTGATAGAGGAGCCACTAGTGGTAGAAGTGAATCTCTTCACCTCTCCCAGCTGGCTCAGGCCCTGGCGCTCAAGGACCCTCACCACAGTCTCACACAGAGCTAGGAGAGAGCCGTCAGGGCCATTCAACGTGATGTCCTGGACAAGCTCATCGCCAGGCATGGAAACCATGTGGGCAATTTGGAGGCCCTTTCCACTCTGCTCAATGGCCCAGACAACCACTGCCCCAAGGATGCCGGAGAGAAGCATCTTCATTTCTGGGTCATAGCAGAGGCAGTTGATGTTAAAGCGGCAAGGCACTATACCCAGGGGTTTGAAAGACCGAAAATGGTCCCCAAAGAGCCGCAGGAGCAGGTCGCCACAGTAGGCCACGAGGATATGAAAGGAGCCTGTGTGTACCATACACTGGATGGGTGGCACTCGTTCAGTCATGGAAAAGGTTCTCTTCTCAACCATGTCCTCCATTTTGCTCTTCATCCATACTACAGCCTAGGAGAGAAGAAGATGGGAACTGCCTAAAAAAGATGGTAGAATAGGAAAGGGAAGAATATTCATCTGTTTTTCCCTGTTCTTATGCTAAGGAGGAATTGCTGATCTAGAGTGATTTTACCCCTTGGTTATGGTGGTTGGAAATACTGTAGGAGCAGAAAAGCTAGAACATTTTCCCTGACCTTGCCCTACTTTAGGAAAACCATAAAATCTATTCAGCATGGAGACTATAATGGGAGAAAGAATGAGGGGGGAATCCTGGATCCAGGTTACTTTTTTTTTTTTTACTTTTTATAAGCGTTTACTTGAGCCAAAATGAGGGCATGTGCCTGGGAGCAAGATCTCAAAAGTTCCCCAGGTAACTTTCATTGGAGATGTACATCTTCCTTTGTCAGTCTGGGGTGAGGAGTTTACATGGATATGGCCCCTGTAAAATGGGCTAAAAAGAAGAACAACTAGGGAGTTTTACCTGTATTTCTTTTGTGCTTGTTACCCACGAGAGGGAGGCAAAGAAGTTGGCATCACTGAAGTAATAGCATATAAGCGGCATATTTTGAGGATGGCGAGACTCTCTGAAGAGTATCTGGGACCGGTCACTCAGCACAACTATGCCACTCTTTGGTTCATCTAAAGTTTGCTGGGGAGAGGCATGGCATAAAGTAAGAGACCAGAACACATGCACTAAATATATTTTCACTTAAGCCACAATTGAAGCAGTTCCCAAAGTCATGCCACAACCCCAGGGACCACTCCTGTTATACCCACACATGCACAACTTACCACCTGTGGGACACCTACACTTCACAAGCACGTAAAAAAAAAACCCCAGTATGAAAGAACCAAACCTCCATAGGGCCTCTATGGGCAAATTTTATAATGTGAGCACAGGGGAAATTGATGTTCTTCTCATATGAAGTTAGCTATACCTATCTTCTAACTTTCTCCCTTCTGTCTAAAAGGTACATATGCCATGAAAGACACATTTAACAGATTAATTGGGAAAGTTAGTGCACTGCTATATGCCCACATGCAATGTAACAGGATATCCCAAGAAGTCAGTACAGTTTTATATTAAAGTTCATAACTGCACTAAGACTTCTAGGACACCCTACTTGGCCTTTAAATTTGACATAGGAAGATTTTATTTTTATATATATATTTATATATATTTACATATACACACACACACACAAATATATATACAAACTATATTATCCCACAGTGACAGAGCATGTGCTATGCACCATGAACCTGTGATTCTTTTACACAGAGCCCACCATAGCACAACTGAAGTTGGCAAGTGTTCTCTCTGGTGCCCTCTCCCTTCTCTTTCAGAAAAATTTCTCTTCCCAGAGGGTTGGTTCCTCTGACAATGCTCCAAAGTGTTCACCTTCCACTATGAAAATGTCCTTGCAAGAGATCTCTAGACTCATTTGGAAATTGGTGGCCCACTTCCTAAGGTGACAAGTGTCTTTATGGTCTCCCCTGCCTGCTCCCTGCTTACATGGAAATCTATGCTCCTCAGAAGTGCTTGTAACTATATTAAGATAGAGGCAAATAACATGTTTATGTCCTACATATACATTACCTTGCTACTATATAAGTCACTTATGAGGTATTTAAAATCCTTCCAGAGGGGAATCAGTCTAGGGGAAGACATCGCCTTGATTATTCCCTCGTTTTGCTCAGTACCAGTGCTTAAAAACCTGTGGAAATCCAAAAGAAGTGAGCTTAACCACTACTACTTTTTGGGAATCTAGGAATCAGAAAGCAAGATCCATGAACTCATGTTTATTGCACACTTTTTGAATGTTAGGAACTATAAATGAGACATACCTTCTCATGTAATACTCACCCCAGCCCAGTAAGGTAGGTATTACTTCATTTCAGTGATGAGAAAACTGAGGCTTGGAGAGGGTACATAAAGAAATTGGGGACTAAATCTTAGCTATCATAACCCAGTGGGATACAATGGGTGAGGGAAGCAGAGCGGGGCTAGAAAGGAATACCATGTTTACCATCCCAGGCAAACATTTCTTTGCTGATGGCAGCCAGTTAAAAGAGCATTCTGCAAGGACTAGGAGTTCCCAAAGTTCCCAGGGGAGGGGGTATGTCTTAAATGAAGATCCCTAGGGCCTTCTCTAGACTTACTGAAGCAGAACCTTGGAAGTGGGACTCAGGAACCTTCATATGTAACAAGCTCCCTAGATGATTCCATGGACATTCAAGTCTGACTACTGAAATAGGAAATTAAGATGCTGGGCCCCCAGGACTAAGGGTCAGCCCACCTATCACAGCTGGAGAAAGGATCCAGCCATTTGGCCTTGCAGGTTTTCCCAGGCTGGTGGAATCAAGTAGCTTCCTTACACGTGAATCATCTATCATCCTCTTTTGCACTCTCTCGTCTTTGACCTTCAGAAGAATAAACCTCCACTTTTTTCAGTTGGATTGTGAATACATCCTACATTTTTTAATCCTCATAGAGAAGAGGATATGTTCATTGACTTGAGAGAGAAAGAGAGAAAGAAACATCAATGTGAGAAAAACATCGATCCATTGCCTCCCACATACACACCAAATAGGGATCAAACCCACAACCCAGTTATGTGCCCTGACCAGGGATCGAACTTTCAACCTTTTGGTGTACAGAATGACACTCAAAGTAACTTAACCCCCTGGCCAGAGAAAATCCTACTTTTAACAAGCCCTCTCCCACAGGGAGTCTCTCTTTACTGGTCAGACAATGGGCTTGTTTTCCTCATTTGTAAACTGAAAATGCAAGTGTTGCCTTCACAGGATTGCTGCAAAGATCAAATAATTCTGTTAATACTTTTTAAAGTATACTCTGAAGCAACAAACAATTATTGTGATTGCTGTTTTTAGACTGGTTTGTTTGTCAGACAAGTATTTCTTTCCTTCCAACCAATACTTAGTACTTTCCTCTTGTTCTGGAAACATCACTTAAGTTTATAGTCTGGCCAGCAGAGGGCAATGGAAGTGAGGCCATCCTTGTGCCTGACAGATGAAGGAGACTGGTGAACTTTCAGTTTCAAGAAGTGACTCCCTAGGACTTCCAGCCAAGATGGAGGCTGGGGTTGATACACTTTGCTTCCTCCCACAACCAAAAGAAGGACAAGAAATTTAGAAACAAAAAACCAGAACTGCCAGAAAATTGAATTGTAGGGAAATCCGACAACCAAAGAGTTAAAGAAGGAACATTCATTCAGACTGGTAGGAGGGCCAGAGACAGGCAGCCAGGGTAGAGAGGACACATGGCAAGGCAGTGGCTAGAGGACCAGGGAAGGTAAGGTGGCAGCTGGGACTGGGGGACCGGGAGGTCCCACATTCGTGTATGGATGAACAAGGAGGAACAACTGGGGAACGAGACAGACTGCATAACCTAGGGTTCAGTACGGGGAAAGAAAGCCTCAAAAATCTCTGGCTATGAAGACCTGTGGGGGTTGCGGCAGTAGGAGAAACTCCAAGCCTCACAGAAGAGTTTGTTGGAGAGGCCCATGGAGTCCTAAAACTTATACAAACCCGCACACCCAGGAATCAGCACCAGAAGGGCACAATTTGCTTGTAGGAAGTGGGGAAAGTGACTAAAAGGTGGCCAAGAGCTGAGCAATTGGCATTGTTCTCTCGTGGACCCCTCCCCCATGTACAGTGCCACAACACAGAGGCCTGGGTTGCCCCGCCCTGGTGAATACCTAAGGCTCTACCCCTTACAATGTAACAACTGCACCAAGACAAAAAAAAAAAAAAGGCCCAAATGTAAGAACAGATCAAAGCTCCAAAAATAGAACTAAGCAATGAAGAGAGAGCCAACCTATCAGATGCAGAGTTCAAAACACTGATAATTGGGATGCTCACAGAAGTGGTTCACTATGGTTACAAAATAGAGACAGAAGTAAAGGCTATGCAAAGTGAAATAAAGCAAAATATACAGGGAACCAACAGTGAAGGGAAGGAAACCAGCACCCAAACCAACAATTTGGACAAAAGGAAGAAATAAACATTCAACCAGAAAATAATGAAGAAACAAGAACTCAAAAACATGAGGAGAGGCTTAGGAACCTCCAGGACAACTTTAAACATTCCAACATCCAAATCATGGGAGTGTTTGAAGGAGAAGAGGAAAAGCAAGGAATTGAACACATAATGAAGGAGAACTTCCCAAACCTGGCAAAGGAAATAGACTTCCAGGAAGTCCAGGAAGCTCAGAGAGTCCCAAAGAAGTTGGACCCAAGGAAGCACACACCAAGGCACATCATACTTACATTACCCCAAGACAAAAGATAAGGAAAGAATCTTAAAAGCAGCAAGAGAAAAGGAGACTGTTTCCTACAAAGGAGTTCCCATAAAACTATCAGCTGATTTCTCAAAAGAAACCTTGAAGGCAACAAGGAGCTGGAAAGAAGTATTCAAAGTCATGAAAGGCAAGGACCTACATCCAACATTACTCTATCCAGTAAAGCTATCATTTAAAATGGAAGGGCAAATAAAGTGCCTCCAAGATAAGGTCAAGTTAAAGGAGTTCATCATCACCAAACCCTTATTATATGAAATGTTAAAGGGACTTATCTAAGAAAAAGAAGATGATCAAAACTATGAACAGTAAAATAACGACAAACTCACAACTATCATCAACTGAATCTAAACAAAAACAAATATGAACTCAGCAAACCACTAGAACAGAAACACAATCACAGAAATGGAGATCACATCAAGGGTTTCATTGGGGAGGGGTGTGGGGAGAATGGGGAAAAAGGTTCAGGGAGTAAGCATAAATGGTACAAAATAGATACGGGGAGGTTAAGAATAGTATAGGAAGTGGAGAAGCCAAAGAACTTATATGTACGACCATGGACATGAACTAAGGGGAGGGGGAATGCTGGTGAAAGGTGCATGGAGGGTGGAGGGGAATAAACAAGGAGATGGGTCAACTTTAATAGCATAATCAATAAAATATATTAAAATAAAAAAGTGGCTCCCCAAAGTGTGATTCTCAGGTCAGGAGTGTCAGCGTCACCTGGGAACTTGTTAGAAATGCAAACTACTGGGCCCCACCCCAGACCCACTGAATTGGAAACTCTGAGGGCAGTACCCAAAAATCTGACTCTTAACAAGCTTTTCAGCTCTTACCTCACAGTAAAATCCAAGGACCACTGGTTTGGAGCGCTGTTAAGAGTTCCTGACCAGTTTGTCCTGGGCCTCCTAAGGCAAGGTCAGCAGAACCCACCCTCTATTATGGCTAAGCCTAGGCCCTGTGTTGCCAGAGTCTTCACAGCTGGATTTTGGGCAAAGGAGCAAGCAAAAGGTATCATCATCTCATCTGTAGAATGGATTAGAGCCTACAAAAAGGTTTCACGTTAATTGCTTCATCAGTTCTTGAAAGAATTCTTAACAACAGATATCAACTCCATTATGAATACAAGGAACATGAATTCAGAGAAGAGCAGTGTTCAAGGCTACACAGATTCAAGACTAAGATGCAATCCACATTTCAGGATTTTCTCCATATCAGACAGAATCAGGAAGAGACTCTTCCATCTGATGCTAAGGAAGCTCTCTGACCTGCAAATCTACGAATGGGAACTGGGGACTGGCTGTCAAACATCAGCAACCCTTCTGTCTCCTTTCACTTTCCCCAAGGCTGAATCCTGCCTTCCTGCCTTATCTTTTTACATTCTGTTCTTCTGAAACCCTGCACTTGCTGCAAAGGCACCACCTTTCAGGAGCCAGTAGGATCTGCTTCATATCCTGCACATTAGTAGATGGCCCTGTAGGCCAGGCCCCACAGCTCAAATTTACCTCACTGGTTCCTTGAGGCCCCAGAGCTGCTGAGAGAGGCATCATTAGCAACAAATTTACAATCACTGCCATCAGTTTCCATTGCTCCATATATCTCCTCTGGGTCCAATGTCTCTTGACCAGTTTACAAAAAGTAAGTGGTTGGGACCCTTTGGGAGCACATTCCTTGGTGGTTAATGAAAAAGGCTTTCAAACCTCAAACCTCTGTTTATTTATTTGTTTTGCCACTCTCTTCCATCCCATACATCAGCTTCCTTAGGTAGTCGTCAGAGGAAATTTCTAAAATCCCCATTTGATTCCCTAATCCCATTACCTGTCCTTAAAAGCAAGTCTAGAATGAACTCCAGATGCCTTAATTCCAATGGTCTTGACTTTTTTTTATATACCTTAATAACTCAAAGATGATCTAATGGGAGAATTCAAGCCTTCCAGTCAACTTGGGGGTAGGTATCAGTATTTGGGGCTGAGACATGGTATGTCGTTTTGACTATGGCAACAAACCAGGTTTGTGACTGTGCACTGACACTGGCACTACATCCTTTTTCTTAGCTGCAGCCCACTCCAACATACTGTCAGTGGCAGGTAGGTTGGAAGGCCAACACCCCTTAGCCCTGCCTTTGTAATAGAGAATTAGCTCTAGGGGGCACTACACAACACTATTGGCCCCCCAGGCTCCTTTTGATTCTTCATTGGCTCCATATGCTCTGTTATAGGAGTGTGAGGGTATACAGTTGTTGCCCCAAACAGCTTACAGTTCAGCAGGGAGGGCATACATCAAAGAATAGTCATATAATTTATTACAATAGAAATTCTGATTTTATTATTCTTTGAAGCTTTCTGCAACTT